CCGGTCAGGTCACCCCAGCACTGGGGAGCCAAGGCTGGAGGACCCCTCAGGCTCAGTGCTCATTTGGGCTGAATTGCTAAGGTTCAGTGAGAGATCCTGCTTCAGGAACCAGGGCAGTGGGCGATGGAGAGACACAATGTCAGTGTCTGGCCCACACAGACATTGTACCCAGTGTTTGGGTGCAGGGACCCAGCCAGGGCCTGACATCTGGAGCCTCTGTTTCCCCATGTACTCGGGTTGCTCAGGGGCCCCTGACACAGGCACCCCAGGCATGCATGGCCTAGGTGTGACTCTTCTCAACCCACTGTCTCATTTCCTTGTCCTTGCTGGCAGCCATGGTCACTGTGTAGCCCCATCCCTGCATCTACCTGGGACCTGGGTCTCCAGGAGTCCATAGTGAAAGATGCTGGACTTGCCCAGAAGAAACACACTGGATCTCTCCAAGCACCCCCACAGCCTGGCCTGTAGTTTACTCTGCTCCAAAACTGTTCTAGAACATTGGTAATCCCTGGGAGCTGACTGTCCTTGCTGTCCTGATGATGCTCAGAGCCACAGTCTCTCAGTAGAGACACCACAGACATGGACACTCAGGTGCCTTGGGGACTGAGGCAGGAGGATTGCCATGAGTTAGAATCCAACCTGGGTTACATAGTGAGAGAGACTCTTTTGCCACAGTAATAATAATAATTATCATTATTTAATATCATTAATAAATTATTACTTGATCCCAGCACCCTAGAGGCAGAGGCAGGACAATCTCTGTGAGTTTGAGGCCAGTGTGTGCTACATGAAAGCCCTCAAAACAAACAAAAAAGTGACAAAACCTTCAACAAACAAAAGAGAGAGCAAGTATGTTTGTCCCAGACTTCATTACACACCCGGATATAGGCCAGAGACTTTGCCGCCACCGCGTGGATACAGACACTGAGGCACTCAGGAGATCTGTTTGAGGAAGCATCTGGTTGCTGGGGAGCTCTGCGCATGCCCTGCCCTGTAGGCCCCAGTTGCTATGGGAAAGAAGAGCCTGCTGGCTGCAACCAAACCATGAGGTTTTTCTTCTTTATTTATTCATTTTGGGCTCAGTGGATGGAACCTGGGTCCCTGCCCCTGATTACCACTGAGGCTGGAACACATTCCTCCATGTCATCCGGGCCTCTACAACTCCCAGACCTTTGCATGTGTCGGGCCTTTGACAGGACTTGACTAAGTGGTCAACTTTATATAGCTTCTGAATGTTTGTAAAATCATTTGATTATCTATTATATTTATTTATTTTCTTCAGGGGTGGGGACTGTACACATCTTGCTGCTCATGTGCGAGTCATAGGACAGATTGTGAGATTGATTCCATTTCCTTCTGCCATGGAATCTAACTCAAGTCACCAGGCTTGGCTGCTGAGCTGTTGATGGGAAGCCCTCAGAGCTTGTTCTGGGGTTTAGAGGCCGCAATGCCACCAGCCAGGCCATCTCTGCCTGCACACTGTCTGCAAACTCACACCTTGATCCAACAAGGCTGAGGCAGGGGGATTGGGAGTTTCAGGCCAGCCTCAGTTACACAGTGAAACCCTGTCTCAAACAGGAAAGAACAGAAGTCTCTTGTTAGTATGAGATGGAGCCAGTGGGAAACCAGCATTTTGTGGGGTAGCCTCGGCTCACATTTATGTTCCAGGGAGAAAGCTGAGGCCCAAAGAGGCCCACAGTGGCACAGCCAGACAACAGACAAGGTTGGACCCAGACAAGGCACCATCGGCTACCTGAAACATGTCCTCTCCACCTGGACTTGGGCATCTGGCAGCCAACCCTGCTGTGCCATGCCAGCAGCAGACTGAGTTTCACCATCAGCACAGGTATCTGCAGGCACTGCCTGACTCGGGCACACTCCTGTGACCCAGTCTCTGTAAGAGTCTCAGTTGTTGCTGTCACTTGATACCTGGTAAACATTGTCCCCACAGGGGCGGCTGCTACAGGTTCCGGGTGGGATGAGGCTTCTGCCAGGCCAGCACCAGCCCCCCTCCTCCTGTGGTGGTGGTGAAGGCAAGCACTTAATTCAGACACATTGATCCCAAAAGCCAGTTCTCTGCAGGCTGGAGCAGAAGAGTAACTGTGAGCTCCAGGCAAGCCTACCGCCTCAGCATATGCAACAGCTAATCATGTCTACAGGTCCCAGCTAAGTGGGCACCTTTGAGAAATGTGGCCCTACTGTCCTTTCTCTGTGATCCCCTGACAGGCCTCGACCTTAGCAAGGATGGAGAGACAACAACCCACACAAGACACCCTGAGCCAGGCTGGACAGAGGTGGGGCTGAGGAGCGGCTGGGAGGAAGCCAAGCCCAGTATAGTAGAGAAAGGTACACATGAAGTTTTGAAGGGTCAGTAGAAGTTTGCCAGCAAGAATGAGGCATCTGACAGGTGGTGGTGACCCACACTTGAGGCAAAGGCAGATGTCTACAGAACAAGTTCCAGGACAGGCTCCAAAGCTATACACAGAAACCCTGTCTTGAAACAAACAAACAAACAAACAAACAAACAAACATGGAAGGCCCTGGAAATGGATATGGCCGAACTGGATCTGGGGTCTATGTTTAGGGCTGGGCAGGGTCCCCTGGACCAGCCTTCTGAGCAGCCCCTGTGCCCTGTCCCTGACTCCACACAGGGAAAAGCTTGTGCTTGGGAGGGAACTCTGGCATTCCTCAGGCAGGTCCAGTACCCTGCAGGAACCCCGATCCCATCCCCCACTCCCACCTGATATAGCCCTGACCACAGTGGCCCTTTAGCTTGTTCAAGGGAGGACCTGGGCCAAAGACGAGAAAACACCAGCTCTTCTGGCCCTCCAGCTCCATCCCTGGGGGCGCCCAGGGCCAGCTGTCCTCAGTCCCAATTCTGTTCACTACCCATGGCTGTCCCCAGCATCTTTGACTGCTGTTCCCTGTGGCTGGAACACCCTTTCTTGGCAAACTCCTCTTCACCCATCCAAACCCCAACTCCAGTGTCCTCTCCTCACTGTAGGACCCTCCAGACACAGTTCTTCCCATGGCTCCACTTTGGCTTTGTGTGTCAGGTTCTCTGTCCCCTTCTAGGCTTTGGAGACTTGGCCCTACTGCCTTAGTCACTGGGGAAAATGGGCTTGGACACCCTAATTGCCTCTGCTAGGCCCCCAATCTAATTGGCCCTGTCAATCCCATGGCTCTGCCTACCGTGGTCATGTGGGCCGGGAAGTGGGGCGGACCCCCACAGGGCTTTGTGGACTAGGCTTGGGGTTCCCTCCTGCCCACCTGGCCTTTGGGATCCCTGGACCGTTTCTTTAGAGGAGGATTGCTCTCTTTAGGTCCCTCTCCTTCCCAGAGTTATCTTCCTCTCCCCCACTGACCACGGCTGGCACCACCCACCCCAGGCTAGTCACCGCTTCCTCCTCGGCTTTTTTGGGAGACTTTCCTCAACATCACAAACAAGGCAGAGGGACCAGGGCTAGGACTCAGTGGGAAGAGCCCTGGTGTGGCATCCAGGAACACATAAACCATGCCCACCTGTCAAGACAGGTGGAGGCAGGGGGATCAGGAATCCAAGGCCAGCCTGAGCTACATGAAACTGACCCAAAAGCAAACAAAAATAAAAACAAACGGGATCTGGAGGCCGAGGAGCTGGAGCAGCTGTGGCGGAGCAGATGCAAAGGTCCTGGGGCTGGGGCCACTCTGCCTCCTGGGGAAGATGGAGCTAGAGCTGGGAGGGGACCCTGGAGGCTGCGCTGGCGGGAAGTGGGGACAGGGTGTCCTGTAACTGGAGCCCAGCATGGCAACAGCCCCCTCCCCAGCACCCCAGGGCTCCCTGCTCCGGACAGAATGTGCCCTGGGAGATGCAGGGAGATGGCGAGGGCTGCTGCGACCGTGGGTAGATTCCTGAACCGCCGCCCGGCTGGGCCAGCTGCCAACAAGCAGAACAAGTGTCTGCGCCCTGCGTGCCTGTCACCCAGGGCCCGGAGAGAGAAAGGAGAGCCTAGAGTTTGACACTGAGCCCTAATCAGTCAGATTCAAGGGAATCCAGGGAGCAGGTGCAGGGAGGTGACCCCAGAGTCCTGTGGTCACAGGGTTAGGTCCTGAGATGTGAAAGCAGTCATGGTCCTGGCAGAGGGGGAGGAGGAAGGGGCCTGAAGCAGTGCAGCCCCGCCCCTCTGTCCTGGGACCTTGGAGTCAGCTCCTCCCTGCTCAGGTCTCAGCTCACCCTGAAAACCCTTCTGTAAAGATTGGGTCCAGCAACTGCCTGCTCAGGTGACCCTGTCAGCTGGCTGGGCCCAAGGAGCCGCCCTGGAACTGTCCCTGTGTCCCATCTCAGGAGCAAAGCTGAAGCAGGATCTCATCCCAAACACAATGGAGACCCCCTCCTCGCCCCAGGCTTGAGTCCAGGATCTGGTGAAGACTGCTTCCTCACCATGCCCCCAGGATCCCACCTCAAGGGGCCCGGAACTCCCAGAGACCCACCTCCCTGTGCTCCCCAGTGATGGGGTTAAATAATAATTAATGGAATCAATTATCAGTGTTATTACTGCTAGTCTCACTAGGTAGCCTCCTGCCTCAACCTACTGAGTGAGTGCTCAGTTGTTTTGAATGGTCTGTATTCACAGGCTGTGTGGGGACATCATGTACAGACATCACACCCAGGGCCAGAAAATTACACTCTGAAAACCTTAGAAATGTAAGCACAGCAGATGGCAAGAGGTCAGAGGTTAAGGGCACCATCACAGAGCACCCAAAAGGGCTCAACTGCAGCTCCGGCTTCGGGGCCCAAGGCCCCCTTTCTGCCTCAGTGAGCACCGATACATATAAAACAACCAATGCATCTTTTAAAAAGCCAAACAGACAAAACTGTCTACCAGAGGTGGGAGGGTGTGTTAGGAGTGGCGAGTCACAGTCCCCAGACAGGGTCAGAGCTGCACTAGCTCCCAGGACCCCAGAGGAATGAGGAGGCGGCTCAGTCTCCCATTTTTATTTATCCATTTTTAATGTACAAAGATGACAGACTCTTCAGACATCGGAATGGCAAGTCCCTGGCAGGGTTGTGAAGTGCGGGAGGGGACTTGTCAAGCTACCCCCAGCTGCCTGTCTTCCCTTTGGTGTCCTGCCAGGCTACTGTGTCCTTGTCTGGATCCCTACCCCGAGCAGGCCTTGAGCTTCTTGTGGTAAATCTCACACACAGCTCTGGGCCACCTGAGCCCCCAGTCCTCAAAAGCTAGAACCTCTGGACCCTCAGGTCCCATACAGCCTCATAGCTTTCCCCTTACATGTGTGTCCCTGGGCCCTCTGTCCTGCTCACCTCATGCCTGCACACATGGGCTCCCAACCCTAAGATGGAGGTGGTGGGCAGTCTGAGCCCTAATTGTTTCCTCTGTGCTCATCTGCCTGCTGAGCTCCTGTTCAAATGCCAACGCCTCAGCTGAAATGCCCTCTGGACGCTTTCTGCCTCCCCTGGTTCTGGTTCGCCCTGGATTCCTGTCTCCCAGACTATAATCCTCTAGGGGAGTCTAGCACTGGTCAAATGCAGAGAACTGGAGGCCACAGGAAGACACTAGTCCACAGAAGTCATGTCCTGCTCCTCAGTCCTACAAGGTGTTGGAAGACATTCGGCCTTCCCCGAGACTGTATCTCCAAAGCAGACATCTGGACTGCAGTGGCCAGAGAAATGTGAGCCTGGTACCAAGGTGTGGACTCAGACATCAGCAGGTCATGCAGCGTGGCCTCCCAGCTTCTGAGGGTGGATGAGGGTCCTCCTGACAGACAAAGTCCCAGTGAACCACACTGTCCACCCTACCAACCCCAAATCCTATGTCATCTCAGGGAAGAGGCAGTCAGGGGTTACCAGGAGGGTGTGAGGCCTCGATGTATGAATAGTTCGTTTTCTGTTTGAGACCAGGTCCTGCTATGTAGCCCAGGCTGGCCTGGATCAGGGCTGGGATTGGCCCACACCTGCTCACTGATAGCTTTATGGCCCACCAAACACCCCTGAAAGCCAGAGAGGGCACAGGCAGTAGTACCTCAGCGTATAGCGGAGGCGGTCGGTAGCGGAACTCCTGGAGACAGGCAAAGTAGGGTCCTTCCAGGGTCACACTCGGGTGGTTCAGGAGGGGGAAGGGCCCCTGTGAGGCAGCTGGCAGCTGGCTTTCCCTCACCACCTCTGAGTACTCAGGAGGGGCTAGAAGGAAGAGACAAGGTGGCACTGGCACGTCAGGCCCTGGTGCTGGGCTTCTGGGGGACCCATGGCTATGCTGCGATTGTGACTGACTTTCACTGTTGCCCAGGCTTCCCTCCTGCCTCAGTTGGGATCTTGGACTCATGGTTTTGGTTGCCCTCGAGCTCTTGGTGACAAGTCCTCCCACACGTGCCTCAGTTAGCTGTGTCTTGGTTTTAGAGGCTGGGTCCTACAAGTACCCTAGCTGTCGTCTTAATTATTTAGTAGAGACTAGCCTTGAATTGCCCCCTCAGTCCTCGGTGTGCAGAGTTGATGGGTGCTGGGATCAGACCCCTGAGATTCCTGGTCTGGAGGGGTGGGGCCAGGGCTGTGGCTCCGCCCACCCGCATCCTTGGGGGCTGACCGAGCTCACCCTCTGGTGGTTCCATCCCTGTGCACAGGCCCCAGCTCTGCAGGAACTGGCCCACACTGGCCGAGCGGTTGCCCAGGGGATGCAGGGGGACTGTGCCAATGACCAGCGGCAGCTCCAGCAGCAGCTTGGAAGAGCCTGGGATGTCCACACAGACCTGAGGGAGCAGCTGCCATGTGGACTGTGGCCCATCTGTGCCCTCCACCCTGGCCTGAACAATAAGGTGTAGAAGAGTGTGATGGGTACCTTGAGCGAATAGTCCACACTGAGCACGCGGCAGTGCAGGATGGATGGGCCCACTGCGGGGATGCGAAGCATACGACCGGGCCACAGCGCACGGCGACCAGGGCCCACGGGTTCCCCGTCCACACTGGCCACCACAGTGCGCTTCTGCTTGCAGGCACCTCGGGCCATGAAGGTTTGTGTCTGTACCAGGGCGGCCCGGGGCTGTACAGCTCGTGTGGAGCCATTGTCAATCTCCGCAAAGATAGGGATGACCTCGCCTGCAGCACAGGGCAGTTTGCCTGAGTTTCCCCATTGCCAACTCTTCCCACCCCAGCCACATCGGACCCCACCTGTTACCTGGAGTGTAGCCCTTGCGGTCAATCTTGGCTGAGAGGGACACGGGGCCATGGGTGCAGTACCAGGATCTCGCCACCTTCTCTCGGGCTCCAGCCTGGGGTTCCTGTGGGGACACTAAGATACTTTGGGTACCTGAGCACTTGGAGTTTCTATGGAGGGACCCTAGTCACAAGAAGTAGTTGAGGCAGGGAGACTTAGTGCCTGTTCTAGGCCAGCCATCCCTACAAAATGTGACCCTATCTCAAGAAACCAAAAGTTGAATAAAAAATTAAAAGCAAGAATAGGTGTGGTGGCTTACACCTTTGATCCCAGGAGGCAGATCTCTGTTGGGTGAAGCCAGAGACCAGCCAGGGTTACACACATTAGAGACCTTTGTAAAATTAAAAAAAGAAAAAGAACAAGAAACAAACAAATCTCAAAACCAATTAAACAAAAAATTCGCAAGCCCTATTGCGCTGTATTTCCCAAAAAGGGCATCAGAGGATGAGGGAGGGCAAGACACTTAGCCAGAGCTGCACAGCAGGTGGGTGCCCTCGGATTCGCACCTAGTTCTAGTAGGTTTCATACCACTAACTTCTGGCTCCTCTATTTCAGAGACCACATCGAGCAGCCAGGCTGGACCCCACCCTGCCCCCCCACAGGGTAGTCACATACCAGCAGGGCAGGTATATTTATGTCCACGGGTTCAATGACAGTGAACACCTTCTGGGCATGGCGTGCAGGGACCCAGGGCCGGTGCAGGGTGGCTTTGACGGAATAGCGAACGCTGCCGTGTTTGCCCTCGAAGGATGTCACCAGGGAGCTGGATGGCAAGAGTGGGGGATCAGGGTAGGAGACAGAGGTATGCAAGTGGGGTGTTCCGAGGAGTTAGGGTTGGGGCCCACAGATGCCCAGCCGGTGGGCGATAGAGGGACTTACATTGGCAGCTGGAAGCTGAAGGGAAATTCGTGACGTCCGGCGGGCAGCATGGAGATGTCCCCCGAGTCTAGGAGCAAGACACAGGACATAATGGAGGCGGGCCTGGGGATCGTCTGCTCGGAGCGTCCCGAGGGGTCCCCAGGCCGTACCTGGTGCGAGCAGCGTGTCGCGGTGGTTCACGACTTCCACGCGCTCGCTGTAACTCTGAGTGTACGCGGTGCTGGAGCCCGCGCTGCGGGACTCCGTCCAGTGTGCGCGCGCGCGGCCCCGAGCGCGCATCCTGAGCGCGCTCACGCGCGCCGCGCCCGCCAGCTCCAGCAGTACCCGGCCCGCCACGGCTTGGCCTCCGTGGAACACGGGCTCGGTGCCCGCGCGCTCCCCGTCCAGCTGTACCACGAAGGCCTTCACCTTGTCGAACAACATCGCGCTGACGGGCGCGAACCCAAAAGCAGGTCGACCCGGGGCTCGAACCAGCGACACGGGACACCGAGGGGCTGAGAGCGCGGCAGGTTCGAACTACACCCGCGAACACGCAGGACCGAAGGACTCGAGCACTGCTTTGGATCGGCGGCTGCGTCGCTCTTATAAGGCGGGGCGGGGGCGGGGCCTGAGGAGAAGGCCGCCTACCGGAAGATGGTCCACTAGGGGCGGTGCCTGAGAGAGAAAGTTGCGCCCCTTAGGAGAAGCTGGGCCAATAGGGCGACGAAGGAATAGTCTGAGGAGAAAGCCACGCCTCCAGGAAGAGAAACCCACCAATAGCGTGGTGAGGAGGCGGAGCCTGAAACGTCTGGTTTAGCCGAACTAGGCCAAAGGCTTCTCGAGGGCCATGGTCTGAGAAACCACGCCCCCTGGAGGGATTACGCCAATAGCGTTGAGGGGCGTGGATTGATAAACCCGCCCCTTGGGCATTGAGGAGGCGTGGCCTTAGAGAAAGCCTCACCTACCGGAAATTTTTCATCAATAGCACGGAGGGGCGTGGCGCCTTCAGGCTGGGCCTCACACTGAGCCTCAGTGGGCGGTGTTGCAGTGAAGGGCCCCTGCTGAGAGTCCCGCAGGTCCAGAGTCAAGAAGGGAAACTGAGGCCCAGAAATGGGGGACTGGGTCTGAGGCACACAGCATGGCAACTGCCATTTCCTTTTTTTCCTCATGTAGCCCAGGCTTGCCGGGAACTTCAGACAGTCCTGTGTCAGCCTCCTGAGTGACTGACTGGATGACAGCACTAGTCATGAAACCTGGTTGCTTTTATTTATTTTGGTTGTTTTGAGACAGAATTTCTCTGTGTAGCCTTGGGTTTGGAACTCATTTGTGCAGACCAGGCTGGCCTCGAACTCATGAAGGTGAGGCTGCCTCTGCCTCCCTAGTGCTGGGATAAAAGCTCAAATCTGGCTTTTGAACTCGACGAAAGCTTTATGTCCTTTTGAGGCCGGGCCTCGCATAGTCCAGGCTGGCCTCCAATTCTCTGAACTTGAGGATGACTTTGAACTTCCGGTCCTCGGCCCCATTCTTCCAAAGCTGGCTTGACAGGCGTTTGCCGCAACGCCTGGCTGTTTGTGGGTGTTGAGACAGGATCTCACCCTGTGACCCAGGACTGACACCTGCAGACTTCAGGTGCATTCCCGGCGGTGTGGGTTGGTGGGGGTCTTCTTTCTCCAGTTGGGTACACCAGGTCAGCAAGGAGATCCGGCACAGGACCACTATTTCCACTTCCGCGGAGCCTGGGAGAGGTCAGTCCCGGCCACAGAATGCGGTACGCGGATCGCCGTGCATACCCTGCTCGAACCCAGGAGACGCTCTGACATTTCGAGTTCAGGGCTGTATCGTGCAGGGGACAGTGTGACCCTCCTCGGTGCCTCAGTTTCCTCCTAAGGGCGGCAGGGAGAGTTGCTCCTCCAGGGGATCTTGCCCAGAGTTTGTGGGACACGTGCGCCCCCTGGTGACCGACGGATGCACTGCGGCTGTGTGGGTGGACACAGGGATCTTGAAGCTGCTGCAGGGTCAGCAGCATCTCCAGCGTGGGATTCAGCGCTGAAGGGCACGAGCAGCCCGTGAAAAAGGAGGTCGAGCTAGAGGACCGGGAGGGCAGAGTGGGGACAGTGTACATCCACTGCACCAGAGCGAGGGCACCACACAGATAAGCCTGCAGAGGCCCAGGGAGGACCCGGCCTTCGTCCGAGGTCGCATAGTAAGTCAACTGCCACCACCTCTCAGAGAAAGTCTGGGCGGCTTCAGAATTTCCCTTGGTTCCCACAGGTCTACCTGCCCAGTGCTGACGAAGTAGCTTCTGCTTCTGTACCACTCACTTCACGGTCGGGCACACTGAGGTTTGGCTCAGCTGTGTGATCGAGGGGCCCGGAGCTCAGAGAGGCGACACCTGCCTTGCACACACGGCTGGCGCTGATGCTGGGCTGGGAACTCTCTAGTTGTACTCCAGGTTGACTGAGGTGGAAGGGTGATGAGCAGGGAGACATCTCAAGCCTACCCACAAACACCATCAGGGAAAGACACTGCAAGGCAAAACGAGGCAGGGTTCTGGGTGCATGGAGATAAGAGGCTTCTTTGAGAATTGGGACTCACACACCTGGAGGCTTCCTAGCCCACCCCAGGGGTTCTGCAGCCTCTGCATGGGGGCCAGAATCCCCACACTTTAATTGGGGGTGTCCCACTGTGTGAGCTCTATGTCCAGGTTGTCACAGGCCTGAAATGGGGACACAATCCAAGTATGAGGACTTCACCCAGGATGGATGGCTGTCCCTATGGGAAATCACTGGGAGCTCTTCCATTTTTTTTTTTTTTTTTTTTTTTTTGACAGTCTATTGTAGCCCAGGGTAAACTCAAAGAACTATGAACTATCTGCCTGCCTCAGGCTCCCCAGTGCTGTGATGACAGACGTGTGCAACCACACCTAACTCTTGTTTCCCATGTGTTCAGACAGGGTCTGGACATGTAACTCCTGATAGTCCTCCTGTCTCAGCTTCTTGAGTGTCTACTGCATAGGGCGTCCCTGCTTCTGCGAGCTCCCCTGGAAGAGCACCTGCTGTCCTCGAAGGTAGGTCTGGTTGCAGTGAAGTCGCTGGCTGTGCTGCACCCCTCCAGCCAGTGCTCGGCCACCACCATGAACGCTTGCACCTGCAGAGGCGCTGTGTGCTGCTACACACACACACACACACACACACACACACACACACACACTGCGGTGCCCGTATCAGGGCAGCTGCAGCGCAAAGCTGAGCAGGGCACCCAGCTGCGTGGCCCTGGGCAGGTGCTGGGACTTTGTGTCCCAGCATGCACAGTTACACTGCCAAGGAGACCTAGGGCTCTACAGCTTCATTTCATACTCATTCTGCTCCACCCCACGTCACTTCCTCACACCTCAGATCCTGCCCTGAACCTTTGTACTTGCTGAGTCTGAGGGACTCTGTTGGCCTCCACCCCCAAATGTCACCACAAAGGAGTCCCAGATCACCTCCAGCCTTGTCTCACTGTAGCTAGGGAATGCACAGCAATCCACCTGCTTTTGGCCCCAAGAGTTAGTATTGAAGACTGCCTCCTGTCTTGTTTATCTCTTCAGGTTCTGTTGATGGGAGTTAACACAGCTCACAGAGGACAGTAGGAGGCCATGTTCCCCAGGCCCTCATGGCAGTCTCTGAAGGAAGTGTTTATTGAGCACTACCTCTGGGCCTGCCTGTCCCTGGCAGAGGCAGCAGGGAAGTGGGGCTCAGTCCAACCTCTGAGCTCCTTCCCACCTGCTTCTTGTTGTGGAGTCCAGGAAGCCAGCCACAGGTCCACTGTCTCCCAAGATCAAGTGGCTGAAGCCTTATTAGAGGCTGCACAGCTGGTCCTGACTGGCCACCTATCCCCATCAGGGACCCAGTGCACTTCCCCAACTGACCAAAGCAAGGAAGGAACCCAAGGCCTGAAGGACCTGGCCATTCTGCTAGCCTATGACCCTGGTCTCCCACTACCTCCAAGTCTGACCCTCCCAGATGCCCTCACTTTGACCTTAGTGGAATCTATCCACTCTTGCTTCGTGGCTGAAGGCCAGTGGTCTCACCTCTGAGCTTGTGTCTTATTCCAGTCAGATAGATCCTGAAGTCATTGTATACAGCAGGCACTCAATGTCTGTGCAGTGACCCCACCATTCAGGAGCCCTCAGTTGGGGCATCCACCTCCTCTGGGGAGAAGCTCGGGGTCCCCCCCCTGCTATGTAAACAGAAGGTGGTTGGTGTCTCCTGATTTACTAAGAAATGGCAAGCCCCTCCCTCTTCCCCCGCTGTAACTCCTTGCCCTCCTGGGGCTTAGGACAGCTAAGGGCCCAGCAAGATCCCATGGTCCAGTCTCAGGGGAATGAATGCCAGTTCTCTTGGCTCAACTCCTCCCAGGCTTGCAAATCCAGAGCTCCAGAACGATGAGGAACTAGCTGAGGCCACATGATGGCCAAGATTTAGCAGTCTGGTGACCAGCAGGCAGTCACCCGAAGTCCGACCCCACAGTGGGCAGCCAGTGGCCTGGCAGGCTCTGGGTGGCTAGGGCTGGGTGGCCAGGCCCTGGCCAGGGAGGTGGCAGAGGGCATATGGCTTGGGCAATGAGGCCTGGCAGGGCCTGCAGGGAGGCACCCAGGGCATCCAGGCGACTCTCCAGGGAAGCCAGACGTGCTTCCAACTCCTCCTGCTGGGCCTGCAGCTCGGACACCACTTCATACGCGATGCTCTGTGCCTACAGAGATGGAGAGATAGACAGAGTGAGAAAGGCAGGGAACAGGGAATGGCTGAGGATGGGTGGTTAAGGACACCAGGGGCCACCATGAGGGTCAAAATAGCACAGGACTGCAACCCTTTCTGCGAATGGAGCTGGCCCGGTATGTGACTATGGCCTTGGCCAGCAGGAGGCGCCAGAGGTGTGGGGCTCCCGACACAGGCGACACACTCATAGCCAGGAGTCTTGTGAACATGGTCAGCTAGGCAGTAAGGCACAGAAAGACTGAGCTCAAGCCACTCTAACCCAGCCACTATCCTTAGGGCTGCCTCCCCCATTGCCCAGGCTGTACCTCACTTGTCCCCATTCTTAAATAAACCAGGGTGTAACATTTGGAGAAACTCATAACTGCAACCAGCTTTCAAGTGGCTCAGGACCCTCTCTGTTATTTTATTTTTATTTATTGAGACAGGACATCACCATGGCTGACCTGGATTCGCTATATAGACCAGACTGGCCTCGAACTCCCAAACTCTGCCTCCCAAGAGCTGGGATTAAAGTTGTTTATCACCAGACCCAGTTTGACTTTTTCTTTATTTAGTTTTGTTTTTTCAAGACAGTGTTTCTTTGGCTGTCCTGAGACTCACTCTGTAGACCAGGCTGGCCTCAAACTCATAGAGATCCACCTGCCTCTGCCTCCTGAGTGCTGGTACTAAAGATATGCACCAGTACACTGAACTTGACTTTTTATTTTTATTTATTTGTATGTATATTTTGAGATACAGTCTGCAGGCCATCTTTGAATTCAAAGCAATCATCCTACCGCACCTTCTTAATACTGGAATAAATAATGTCTAACGATTCCTGTAACCTTTGACTAACACCCCTGAATTCTAGAAACTGAGGCAGGAGCGGTAGTTCTAAGTTGTCCTTGGCTACAAAGTGAATTCCAGGACAGACTGGGCTACAAGACATCCTGTCTCAAAAACATCAAAAAGAATTCAATAACTTCAGAAAATATTACTGGGTAGAACTGGGCTGTGAGGTGGATCTGCCTAGAATCCCCCAGTGAGGGGCTGGCTGGGTGTGGGGGAAAAGGGCCAGACAAAAAAAAAAAAATACCGAGCAGAGCCAAAAAAAACACACTTTGGCCCTGCAACCAAAACCAAAAAAAAAAAATGCATCCTGGCCCTGAAACCAGTGCCAAAGAAACACACTTTGTCCCTGGAATCACAGCCAGTGAAAGAAATACATCCTGGCCCTACAATTAGAGCCAAAAGGCTAAAAGGGACCAGTGAAGGAAACACACTTTAGCCCTGAAACCAGAGCCAAATCTGACTCTAAACCTGTGCAGAAAACCAACCAATCACTGAGAACGAGATCTAGCCAGTCTGAGCTCCTGGAGAAACACCACCCCCTAAGAAACCCTACATAAACCCTGTGTCTGTTCAGCTTGTGGCTGTCTGCCTGCCTGGCTATCCTCTGCTACTCTAACAGAGGACGGCAACTCTCCTGGATTCTTCCCTCCCAATAAATCTCTTGGATGAGGTTTGGGTGAGACCTTCCTTCCCCTGAATGGAGCATGGAGGAGCTGTAACACTTTTGCTGGGGAAACCTTCCCCTAGTGAAGCAGAGTTGTTACACCTCCACTAGAAAAACAGAATTGTTACAGTTCTGGATCAGAGCTGAACTGTAACAACTTGGCTGGGGAAGACCTCCCTTGCTGGAGCAGAGCTGATAAACAGGGGAAGCCTTTCCCTGGAGCAGGGCTGTAAGCTGCTACATTTACTGTGACTGTGGTATTCCTGGGCTCCCGTGTGCCAGAATACCTTTCCATCCCAGCTGTAACACTCAGTATTCTTTGGCTCCTGAGTGCCAGAATCCATCCCCATCCCATCTGAGCTGCTGCAATGCTTACACTAGGGGTGTGGCTCAGGAGTGGAGCCCTGCCTAGAATCCCCCAGTGAGGGGCTGTGGCTGTGGCTTGGGAGATGGAGACCTGACTAGAATCCTAAGCTGTCTATATGTTCAACACTGGATCTCTATGTTTCCTAGGCTATTTCTGACCTCCTAGTCTCAAGGGATCCTCCTGTCTCAGCATCTGGAGGAGCCAGGAGTTCCTGGTTTACAATCCTATGACTGTTAATTGTGAATTTAAACACTTGATGCTACATTGTGGGTTCCCATCCTCCTCTGATAGGATACCCTATCCTCTGGTTCCCCTCCTCTCCCCTCCCTCCTGTCCTGCCCAATGCTTACCTTGGCAAGGTCGGCCAGCGTGTTGGCCTGATCATTCACTTTCCCTTGTTCAATCTTCACACTCCGCAGCCTGGGGAGACAGAAGTGAGGGTATGTCAGGCTACAGCAGGTTACAAGGCTGAGAGTGGGATGCATCTGCAAGTCTGATCTAGATCAGATCAAGGACCTGGACACACCTTACCCTCAGGATGAACATTGTCTCTGCCCACTAGGACACACCTGTGTTGTGCCCCTCCCCATGGGCATCATGAGTCCCCCAGTCTTCCAATAAGCCCAAGACTTACTTCTGAGCCCTGGCAGGAGCCGGAAAAGCAGAGAAAAAGAAAGAGGAAGAAAAAACACAAAGCAATTTTAATCCCATGTAGCAACATGCTGAGTGCCTGCCCACCAGCATCCCCAGGCACTGCCCATCATTCATTCTGCAGCCTGAGAGGGTTAAGTGTCAGGTACCTCACCTCCAAGGGCAACTTGTTCAGGAAACACCCTGACAAGGAAGCTGAGATGGCCAAGGGCAGCACCACAGGGGTCAGCACACAATCAGGACTTGACCCCTTGACTGCTGGTCAGGCATGGTGCCCTTGACCCATGAGGAGCTGTTCCCCCAGAAGGGCTGCTGGGGCAGATTCCATCCTCTCTGTACCACATTCTGCAGCTAAATACCCCCCAGAGGGTGTGACTGCCTCCTAAGCCCAGGATCTGACCCTGGCACCCACTGAGCATTATAGCATCACAGGCAAAACATAAAGTAAAGGAAAGAGAGGCAGGGTGGCAGACAGGCAGAACACATCCAGGGCAGGGAGCCTGTGGATGGAGAGCTGGGATGCAGTCTCTATAGACTGGAAAGATTCAGACCCAACCCAAGGCACATATGCCCTCTTTTTTTTTTTTTTCCCCAGAACTTTTCATTTCTTGGTTTTATTATTATTTGATTTCCCTAGAACTCAGACACTACTTCCATTGTGGGGGCTCTCCTACTCAGTGCACCCCCTGCCCATGCTGGCCTCCGTACCTCCCTGTCTCAGCCTAGGCTTTGCACCATCCTTGGCATGGCCACCCCCACCCCCCTCACCTCCACCTCGGATCCAGTCCACACCCCTCCCCTCTCTTGGCCCTAATCTATTTTTTTTGTTTTGCTTTGTTTTTGGTTTTTTGAGACAAGGTTTCTCTGTGTAGTCCTGGCTTCCCTGGAACTCACTGTGTAGATCAGGCTGGCCTCAAACTCTCAGAGATCCTCCTGCCTCCACCTCCCAAGTGCTGTGATTAAAGGCATGTGCCACCACCTAATCCAAACCTTGTTTGGCTTTGATAATTGCTGTAGCATTCAGGAAAAGGCCATGGAGGTACAGGGCGATCTATGTCAGAGTGCCAGTGCCCCAGCGCACAGACTCACACAGAGACTCATCTATTTGGACACACTACCTCTCAGCAAATCCCCCTTTCCTTTTCTGAGATATTTTCAAACATTCTGGAACATTCCTTCGGGTCAGCTCTAGGGTATAGCCATGAGTGGCTGCCTGAGAGCCAGGGGCACAGGGAAAGGAACTGTGAAGGTACCACACTTACTGATGGATGGCTTGGAGGAACTTACGCTGGTGTTTCCGAACCCGGCCTTGGTCTGGCTTCTTAACTAGCCTGCTGTGTTTGTAGATAAGCCATGTCTCCCTGAGAACATTTGCAGCTGCGTTTCTGACCTGGGGAGCAGAAGAGAACAGTTCTTTAGGGTTGTTATCAGATGACCCAAACCTTATGCAAATTTCTAAAAACTCTAGAAATCCAAGAACCATCTGTTGGGGTTCCCTACACTGTGAGCCAGAGGCATGTTTGCATGTCCCTGTAATGTCACATGGGTGTCAGACTGTCAATACTGAAAGTGGGGATGTAGCAACCCCCATATAGTAGCTTCCCTTTACAGCAGTGGTTCTCTCTGTGTAGATCGCAACCCCTTTGGGAAACAGATATTGACTTTATGACCCATATTTACTTTATGGTTCAGTAGCAAAATTATAGCTATGAAGTAGCAACAAAAATAATTGCATGGTTGGGAGGGGTCACCATAACTAATGAGAGACTCTGTTAAAGGGTCGCAGCATTAGGAAGATTGAGAACCACTGGTTTACAGGGTCTCATGTAGCCCAGGCTAGCCTGAAACTCACTGTGTAGCTGAGGATGGCCTTAATCACCTGCTTCTGGCTCCTGAGTGCTGGGATGACAGGCCTGGGCCACCATGCCTGGTTCATGTCGTGCTGGGTGGAATCCAGTGCTCTGTGCATGCTAGACAAGCTCTCTGACAACTGGGCTCCAGGCCCTCATTCATTTTATAGTCGAGGAACCTGAGGCATGGAGAGGGCAAGGTGCAAACGCTGAAAAGTTCATGGTGTGCACTTAGCAGCTTGGTCCAAAGCTGGTACATGTGGCCCTGTATCCTCTGAGCTGCAGATACTTGTGTAGTGGGAATCTAGTAGTCAGTGTATCTAGGGTAAACATTAGAATGTAACAATTGTTTCCCACTGTACTGGGGTAACAGTAGAGTATATTCACATTTATAGAAAGTACCTAGACCTTGAAGAAACCATGTAGAGGAGAGTGATTGTTTTCTATGCTTTATAGAGTTGTTCTGAAGGGGTTTTCTATGTATTACAAGACTTTGGCCACAAGACTATCCAGGCGCATTTGGAGGTCTTGCACAGGAGGGCCCTGTACACAGTACTCAATAAGGACTAAAGGCTGTGGGGGTGTGATGGTTTCCTTCAGAGAGCATATAGCTAAGTCAAAGGGACTTTGGTATGAGAAACATATTGTGCCCCAAGCACAGTCAGTAAGTATCTTCTGAATAGAGGTTCATGGTTCAGTTCACAGAAACTGTTCCTCCTGCTGCCAGAGAGCCTGAATTATGTTCTGGAGTGACTCTTTTGAATGTCTCCTGCAACACAGAACACTTGACACATGTGGACATGATGCTGAGCCTGGAACAGCTCTGGAATAGCTGCTGTGGTGTCCCACAGAGACAGGAGTGTGTCACCCACTGGCTGAGGCCTGCAGGGAGGAGCTCACCCGTTTGGTGAGTTGTGTGTCCATCATGAAGTTGTGCACGTGTTTCTCAGCCTTGGTGAGCTCCAACTTCCTGGCCACTACAGCCACCACCAACGCAGTGCAGCCTGCTCCCTGTGTGGGGTAAGGACATGTCAGTCCCAATGCCAAGTACACCCTCCTTCAGGAAGCCCTCCCTGGGTCCTGCCCCTTTGCCACAGTGGGATGGGGACACAAGAAAGAGGGGAAGGGGACACTGCCACAATGAAACAGGGCACTGCCAATACCCCAGGGGACTAATGGCACAGGATGGAGGCAGGTGCTGAGCCCAGACAGGGCAGGCAGAGTACAGAAACCGCCCTGAAGAGTCTCTCTCATTCCTGGTCAGGGTTAGTCTTTGAAGGACCCAGAAGCCTCTTTTGGGGAAAAGTCATACTGACAAGGTCAAAGCAACTTGCTGGAAAAGTGTGTGTGGGCAAAGAACAGGGAAAAGATCCACACATGCATGGAAGAACATACAGTCATGAGTCATAATTACTAAAAGGCCAGGCACAGCGGCATCAGATTCAAGGAGAAAATGGTGGGTGCTGGATATGAGGAAGACGAAAGTGTGGCTGCCTGTGCCCAGAGAGAGAAGGGTGACAGAAGAGAGGAGGGAGCAGAAGCCAGGCGGTGTGCGTGGCACACGAGGAGACGAGAGGACTGCCTGGGCCACAGAAAGACGGTCAAAATCGGGGCCTGGGGTTTGACTCAAGCTGCTAGTTAGAATTTTCTGGAAGGAGTCATACCTTTTTGTTTGTTTTTTGAGGCAGGGTTTCTCTGTGTAGCCCTAGCTGTCTTGGAACTCACTTGTAGACCAGGCTGGCCTGGAACTCAGAGACCTGCCTGCCTCTGCCTCTTGAGTGCTGGGGTTAAAGGTGTGCACCACTGTGCCTGGTGGTCATGCTTTTAAATCTGTGTCCATTTAAGGGATTGTGGCTAACCACAGAACTTCCTGGAAGGAGGCTGGCTCATTAGAAAATGTAGTTTTGTATTCCCTCCATGCCTCTCCAGGTTAGAAGGCTTCTGCTTGGGGCTCCAGGAGGGTGGGCCAGAGACCATGCTTAGTTTTTCCTTTCTCCTGGGTGGAACCTGGCCAGTAAATTAGCAACAATGCCAGGAAGGCTTTTGGGGAGAAAGGGGAACATGAGTTATTTTTGTTTTGAGACAGAATCTTGCAAGGTACCCAAAGTGGCATGGAAGGTCCATCTTCCTGTCTCAGCTTCCCAAATGCCAACTGGGATGGCAGGTGTGTGCTGGCATGCCCATCTCATGACCCTCTTTGTGCAAGAATAGGTCACTGTACTTCAACAAGAATGGGACCTGAGGGTCCAGACTGTCAGGGGCTCAGAAGACTGCTGCTTAGCCTGTGACAATGGTGTATACCTTTAATTCCAGCACTCAGGAAGCACACACAGTCAGATAGATCTCTGTGTTACACAGTGAGACCCTGTCTCAAACAAAGACAAAAATAAAAAGTTTGCTCAAATCAGATTAATGAAGCTGATATTCCAAGTGGCCCACATCTACCAAAGGTAGAAGCTTTCTCTGCCTGGGCTTCTAAAGTCCTTGTAGACAAACTTGCAGAGGTTCCAATGAGCCATGCAGGCTCCCTGAAATCAGATGTGGGGGCAGCTAGGGCCTCTAGGTATGGTGAGGGGGCCTCAGAATTCACTAAGCAAAACCTTGCAGCATGCATAGCAAAATAAGGAGCAAGGGCCCTAACTCTGGGGTGCAGGTGGCCAGGAGCTATCACTCACCATGATGCCGGTAAGCAGACACACGCCCTTCCCACAGTAGGTGTGTGGGACCATGTCTCCATAGCCGATGGACAGAAAGGTAATGGAGATGAGCCACATGGCTCCCAGGAAGTTGCTGGTCACTTCCTGCTTGTCATGGTACCTGGGGTTGGGGATAGACAGCTTGGTCATCCACACCGCCCTAACCACCTTCATCTAGCAAGGGGAACAGAACTTTGGGGCTCGTCTGTCCCTGGATGCTAAGGGAATGGGGTGGGGGCTGAGTGATAAAGGCCCTGGTACAAGCTGGGATAGGAGCTCCTTGCCGTCCTTCCTCATGGACCTTCCAGCCTCTCCCTGCCGTGTCTGCTCTCCCTAACCCCACGACAGTACCGAGGATGACCCAAATGCACAGCTGCATAGGGAAGACTTCCCACATAGCCAGTGAGGCCTGACTAAAGAGGACTGGGGACACTGAAGCCAGCAGGTGGCTGTAGGAGAGGAGAGGGGAAGGGGTGCTGAGGGTCAGGCTGTCCCCAGCCTGCAGCCTTGGATGTGGGACGGGAGACCCTGGAGAGCAGAGCTCTGCTGGAAAGGCCGGCTGAGATCCCACCTACTAGAGCTATAGAGATTGGATACCCAACCTGGGGCTGGCATGGCAGGAAGGTGGCTCTGGGGATGGTGGTAAGGGACTTAATCACAATCCCAAATTCTCCAGAGATCATTCTGGTTTTTGCTTTTCAAGACAGGGCTTCTTCATGTAGCTTTGCAGCCTGCCATGGAACTTGCTCTGTAGAACAGTCTGGCTTCAAATTCACAGAGATTCACCTGCCTCTGCCTCCTGAGTGCTGGGGTTAAAGGTGTACGCTACAACTGCCGCCAGAGATCATTCTATAATTAGTTTTTTTCCTTTTTGAGACTGGGTGTCATGTAGCCCAGGCTGGCTCACAAGCTTGCTATGCAGTGAAGGATGAGCCCCTGATCTTCCGGCTTCCATCTCCCTAGTGCTGAGATGACAGACCGTGTCCCTATTTCAAGCCACTGCCACGGGATGCTTCAGGGTGACCCAGGTGTGGAGATGGGACATGTAGGGACAGGGCTGTGGGGTCAGAGCAAGCAGCAGTGCCTGGTATTTAAGATGAGCTTTGTGCTCCCTCTTCTGGGCCCCCAGCTCAGACAGGTGTGAGGAGAGCCCTGAGGTCACTGATCAGTGGGGTTAGAGGACAGGAATAGCAGCAGGTGCATCAAACTCCCAGGGAGCTGGCGGGAAGATGGGGTGAGCATGGGAAGCTGGGCCTTTTCCAACTAGGCACAGTGCAACAAATGGATCTCACAGCCACCAAAGCACCCCTGTGCCGATAAAGCCCAGCCATACCTGTCTCCAGTCAGGCAGGCTAGGGACCCCAGGCGCGTCCTATGACCCCTGAGGACTTCAGTGTCCTCTACAGGTTCCCTTACTCCACGCCCCCAGCCAGACCTATGGGTGACCTGGGACCCCTGGTTCTCAGAGCCTAGCTGAAAAGACCCTGGGCTCTGGGGTGTCCCTTGTCTCCAGCCAGGCCCATCCTGGATGCCAGCTTCCCTCCCTCACAAATAATCTTAAACTCTTGGCTGTTGGGAACCATAGTGGTAGCTCAGTGACTGCAGTCATGGGGATCGTTGTGGGGTGGAGGGGCTGGCGGCAGCTCAGCTGAGGGTGGGACTCACATGTTCCCTCTAGGGTCCAGAAGGCCAGAGATTAGAGGGAGGGAAAGTTAACATTAAACTTGAGCCTGTCCCTGGTGGCCCCAGCCCTGAGTCCTACCCCGGACCCCCAGAAACAAGAGTGGGGTGTCAGGGCAGGAACCAGGGGTGAGGGACAGCTCTGAGTCTAAGGCTCCTTCTGCTGGCCTGATTTCAGAGGCCAGCATGGGATGCCTGGAGGTGGTCAGGGATAGAGTGATGGATGGGTCTCCAGGGGAACAATTGAGGCTGACAACCCAGCTCTCAGCCAGAGATGCTGAGGTCCAGCCAGAGATGCAGGGTCACAGGATGGAAGTGGAGACTAGGGGTCAAGGTTGGAGGATAGGAAGGTGGGACCTGGGGTTTGGGTTCAAGTAGGTGGCCATGGTCAGTCACCTCTCACACACGCGCACTGTCCAGGCAGCGACAATCCAGGAGGAGATGCTGAAGACCAACAGTACAGTGCCAGGGCAGATGGTCATGAGCGTCTTGGTGACGAAGCGCGTGTTGAAGGTAACACGGTTGAGGGCCCCGATGCTACGGCTCGATGCATCAGTGAAGATGCGACTGTGCAAGAGCATGACCCGAGCCAGCAGGTAGAGGCGTAGGAACATGGGGATGGACAGCAGCACATCCAGGTCTGCCTCAGCCGCCGACGGCACCAGGGAGAAGGCCAGCCGTGCTGTCCACGTGAAGCGGTAGTGACCAGGCACTGGGTGGATGGCACACACAGCCAGCTCCAGTGAGATCAGGGACACTCGCTCCCACGTCATGGCAATGCGCCAGTCATCGGCACCATTGTCCACCAGGAACAGCTGCAGGAAGGGGTCACTGGGTGGGTCTCCTGAGCATGGAGCTACCTCTCAGGGGGAATGCTGGCCTAGGCCTCAGCCTCACCCAGCTCAAGATTTTTACACAAAGATTTTTTTGTTTGTGTATTTTTGAGAAAGGGTCTCATGTAGCTGGCCCTGAACTCCTATACAGCCAATGATGACTCTGAGGTTCTGATCTCATACATCAACCTGCCAAATTCTGGGATGACAGGTATAGAACACCCCATCTGGCTGGTTTGTTTTGCCTTTTGGAGACAGGGTTTTATTTGGGGCTGGCCTTGAACCATCAGCAATCCTCCTGCCTCAGTCTCCAAAGTGCCAGGACGATAGGGCATGTGCCATGCGCAACACTTGGTTGGTTTCTCAGTTCTAGTCCTAACTCAAAACCAATCAAAGGCACTCGCGGCAAGCCTGAGGACCTGAGTTCAAGACCTGAAACTCAAAAACAATAACCAACACATGTGCACACTCACAAAATGGGGGAAAAAGTGTGGATGGAGGGAGACTGGGCTCAGTGGAAGAATGCTGGCTATCTACCCTGGGTCTGACCACTGGGACTGCAAACAGGACCTTTACAATTTTAATCCCACTTTGCCCTGACCCTGTCTGGTGATGCAGTGCTTAGGGCGGTGCACTGGCAGCCTCCCTGAGATCCTGAGGGAACAGCCCCACACTCTGCTGGGCTGCACTGACCCTGGGAAGGGAAGGTAGAGTTATGCTGTGACGTGGCTGTGGATGACAGGGTGTGAGCTTGGTGACAACCACTGACTTCATCACTGTCAGCTCTCACCCTGACTCCCTGTTCTGGAACATTCTCAGCAATGCACAGCTACACCTGTGGCTTTGGGGCCTCCCTCAGCTGTCACTCTTCCACCTTGGGTCAGAACGCTTAAGGTGGAAATGAAGGCTTCTCGGGCATCACCCAGCATCAAGGGGGTGGGGTGACTAGAGGGGAAAACGGGTTGTCATCCTGGCACCCAGAAACAGTGACCAAAAAAAAAAAAAAAAAAATCAGTTGTTTCCAGCCTGGGCTACTTGAGACCCTGTCTCAAAAAACCCAGAAAACAAGCCCCTGGAAACAGACAGGTACAAAATGTGGGGGAGGGGATTGAGAGTGGGGTGCCATCCCACAGGCCTCCCCAGTCCTGACCCCATCACACCTCTGAGTACCAACCTGGATCTCCCGGGCATGGTAGAGGACGACAAGGCCAAGCAGGATGAGAGTGGACAGGCTGATGAGGCATTTCAGGGCAAATGAGTACAGTGACCCCTGCACACAGAGAGGGGACACTGCAGAGCGCTGGGGCAACCACTACCCAAATGGGGTGTCCCCATGGCTTCCCCCACTCCAAGTCTTGGTGTCTCTAGAGCTTTTGGGCTACCTTGTAAGGGGCCTGGCAGTCACCAGAGAACATGCCAGTGTCTCACAACCTTGTGGCTCTTGGCAACATCTGGCCCAGGCACACAGCAGCACCCTACTAGCACCCCTCCCCCATCCCTTGTCCTTGCTCAGGTGGCCCATCTGAGGCCCCAACCCCAGGCTGAGCAGATGGGGGGGCAGTGCCTACCTTGGTGTACACACCCCAGGACAGCTCTGTTTCTGTCACCATGACAACAATCCCAAACATGCCAAAGATGAGAGCATAGTCACTGAGGCGTTTGCGCTTCTCGAAGAGGGCCCTGCGGTGGCCCAGGCGATGGCTGACAGTAGAGGGCTTCCTGGCATCCAGCCTGGACGAATCTTCCTCCTCTTCCTCCTCCTCCTGCTCCTGGGGATGGCCCCTGGGGTTACCAGGTGACAACCGAGCAGGCTGGCCCTTGGCCACCATCTGCAGGCCAGGACCTTGGGCAGGCTGCAGGGGGCAGCCTGCCTCAGGGTCCATAGGCTCCCAGCCCAGTAATTCAGGGCCACTGCCCAGAGGTCGTCCCACACTGCCATTGTGGCTGCTGTTACTCATGGCCATCTGCCTCCCTGGGCTGGACTTGCAGCAGGCCTGTGCAGGCCCGGCATGGCTCAGCAGCAGGGCACCAGAACAGACCTGTGGAGACAGAAAACAGTGAACATCTCCATGGCCATTCCAGAACAACCCAAGGCCCTGGAGAACCCACAACACACTAACGGTCTGAAAAGTGCTCAAGTCAGTGTATACCTTCTGCTCAAGAGCCTGATATGGCTCCCTAGTACTACTAGCCTGGCAGAAACTAGTGTGCCCTGTACCCACCCTGCTCCATGAACACCCTACCCCTCAAGCTGCTGAATTGGCAGCAGGTGATGTGGTGGCCTGTGTGTCCAAGGCCTTCTGCATACCACTCTCCACACTTCATGGGTGAAAAGGCAGTTTGGGGCTGTGACTTGGCTGTCCGACACACACGCCAAGCGCAGACCAGCAGCTGCCATGTTCATTCCCGAGACAGCTCCCTCCTGGTCACAGTGTGCAAAGAGAATCCACCTGGGTGACCAACCAGTCTGGGACTCACTCTGCATTTTGAGCCTCCAGTTAGAAGAATGTCTGCTGCCCCAGCACAGAGGGAACTCCTCTTCCCTGTTCATAAAGCTGAGGGAGGCCAGGCAGGGACGTGCTACACAGCAGGACCCACAGCTGTGAGAGGAAACCAGCCTGGTCCTACCCAGCTGTGAGCTGGGGACACCAGCCTGGGGATTAACTGCTGCCTGAAACATCAGCTCAGTCCATTTCTTCCTCCCCCTCCCCCACTGAGATTTCATTCATTCATTTATTTACTTTAGAGATTGGCTCTCACTCTATAGCCCAGGATGGCCTTGAGCTTGTGCCACACACCAAGTGTTGGGATGACAGATATAGCCACTATGCCAGGTATGGTGATACATGCCCACCACCTAAGCAAATGGGGATGCTGAGCCAGGACGCTCTGAACTCCAAGGCCAGCTTGGGCTACATAATGAGTTTGAGGCCAGCTTGGGCCACATGAGACCTTCTCAAAATAAAATACAATAAATTCAGAGCAATAGGTGTTCCTTGCTGAGAGTCTCAAGGAGGGACCCACCTCCTGCGCACCCCTTCACAGGAGCCACGGTGAGAATGGCCCATGATGAAAACTCCCAGGACACTAGACCTGTGCAGGGTGGCCTCCCCAGCAACCAGAGGGTGGATGGGGCAGAGGAAGGACCCCAGCTCTCTCCTCAGCAGGCTCATTGACTCCTTAGGGTGACTTGTTCTGCTTGCCCTTTGCCCACTGACCACCAGGGAGCTTACTGGGCCAGGCACGGTCTCAGAGAACCTGATCCCAGTTCAGAGTGGCCCGCGAGCGCGTGCTCAGGTCACTAGCTGTGCCACATCTACCCTTGGGCACCGACTTTGTGGACTTGGCATTCTCCACTCGCAATCTTCCTTCACCGGGTACACACGCACCCGCTTTCTTGTATCTCTTACCCTGACCCCGCGGCTACACCATCCTCTGCCACGTCCCCAGCCGCATGATCCAGGTACTTGCGATTACCAGACTCCTGCTCCCTCACGCCAGTACCTGCGTGCCACTGCGGGTACCTGGACCCGCATGCCAGCGCGTCCACGCCTCGGCCGCCCGAGGTGGGGGGCAGCGCCCGCCCCTGATGAGCGGCTCCTTGGATTGGCTGAATGCATCAGGCCCCGCCCCCAGTGACCCCGCAGGCTCCGCCCACGCTTAAAGCTCCCTCCTGGGCTCCGGAGGCGAGGATGGGAACCCAGGTGATGGACAGCTGCGCTCGGGTTGCCCGCTGTTGCAGGGGGTCCCGGACACTAGGGGCCTCGCCTTTGGGAACAGACAATCCCGCTCCCTTCGGGGATTCCCCAGTCCTGAACCCCCAACAGCCTTTCAGGCAGGAAGAGCTCCGGGGATCTGGAGTTATCAAGTCTGGGGGGACCCCTCCACCTGCTGTCTCCCCATCAACAAGACAGCCCTGAGCAGGACTCCCTCGTGCAAGTTTTGTTTTAAATTAAGGTCTCATGTAGTTCAGGCTGCCCTAGAACTTTCCAGATAGCCCAGGTTAGTCTTAACTGGCTTTGTAGCAAAGGGATGACCTAGAACTCCTGTTCCGTTCCTTCTCCCTCCACTCCTGGACAACAGCAGGGGCAGGCTTGGGCCACCCAGCTGCTACAACGTTTTGATTTTCTGTTTTTCGAAAGGGTGCCACTCTGTAGCCAAGGCTGATCTCTGGTTCACTCACTTGAATCCTCCTGCCTCAGCCTTCTCCCTGGGGTGTCTAAGTGACAGGTGTCTCCTAAGACACCTTAGGGACCAAGAGATGACCCTATTCTTTTCCCCCTGCCTCCAAACCATGCCATTGTGAATAAGCTAGGAGGTTCTGGAGTCTTGGGTTCTCAGGTCAGTCCCTTCCCCTCGCCTTCTCTCAGTGCAGCTCAGAGCCCGGCAGGTGACAACGCTGACGCTGATCCCCAAGCAGAGCCACCCACATCTCAGAATCAGCCAATTCCTATGGGGACCACCAGACATGGTGACAGTCCAGGTGTAGCGGTCACTGCCACATCTGCACTATTCACACAGACATAAGTGGGTTTCACAAGACACCAGAGTGGCAGGCCTTTGTAACCCTGCTGTGCCCCAGGAGCACCATGTTGCCTCCAGCCTGGGAACCTCTTGCCCCCAGGCCACCTCACTGACTTGAAGCACCTAAGAATCTTTTTTTTTTTTTTCCCCTTGAGAAAGGGTATTGTGTATCCAAGGCCAGGCTAAAACTCACTGTGTAGCTGAGAATGACCTTGAACTTCAGATCCTCCTGTCTTTATCTCTTGGGTCCTGGGATGATAGGCATGTGCCATCAAGCCCCATTTATGCAGTAGTGCCAATGATGGAACCAGGACTTCATAAATGCTAGGGAAGCAGTCTACCAGCTGAGCCAGAAGCACTCTATCAACTAAGCTATAAGCATTCAACCAGCCAAGGTACATTTCAGCCTCTTTAATGAGCACTGGCTGGCTGACTGACCAAGCTACCCATTGTTCCCAGGGATTGGACACATGCCCATCTAGCCCTGCTCGGGTCCCTATCTCGCCATGCATTGCCATGGTGGCTGTGGCCAACTGTGGTCTCTCATTCTGACTGCCTTTCACACCCAAGTCCAACAAAGGAATTCAGAGCCTAAGCAGACATCTCTGCCTCTGAGCTGCATCCTCTTTTTCTTAGGGCCACCTTGCCTTCAAGCAGCCCCTCAAGGAGGTATCCTAGCAACCAGCTGGGCTGGCCCTGAGGACCCATTAGGCTGATGGTGGCAACAGGGCGGGGAGGGACCTGAGGAGTCACAGGTGCATGACACAGGCACTTGAGACACCACTGGAACCCCCTTGACAGGAAACAGACTTGCAAAAACTATCCTCTGGAGACTGCTGGACAGGAGGCGCATCCCTGGAGCCTGAGGGTTGAGCCCGCAGCCAGAGGAAGTGACTGCAGGACTTTGGGAGCCTGGACAGGCCCAGAGGCACCCAGAGACAGGGCTCACACAGAGGTGGCCTGGCAATATGCTCCCTGCTCTCTCCATTCCACACCAGCTAGGCACGGAGGCATACACACTCCAGACTGGAGCATCAGAAGTTAAAGCCAGTCTTCTCTGCATAGATAGAAAGCCATCCTGGGCTACAGCCCTGTCTCAAAATGAAAAACACAGCAAAGATGAGAGAGTTGGTCATGCCTACACTGAAGCAAAGTGTGCAAAGGCCCTGGGGCAGGAGGGGAGACATGAGTCATTGAAGGGGTGCACACTTCTTGGGGAGCTGATTCTGGGTTATCTGGGGCTCAGAGGTCTTGGATTCCCCCATCAGTGTGCCTTGGGCCCCTCCTGTATATAGAGCTTGTACTCTCAGGGATGAAGAAGGCCCCCATCAAACCAGGCCTCAAGTGAGAGAGAAGTAGCCCCTAGGAAGGGACAGGGCCCAGCCCCCACCCCCAGCCCCAGTCATAAGCAAGGCTGTTGAAGTTGAAGGCCCCTTACCCTGCAGTCATCAGGAACTCCCATTGTCCCCACACTGGGCACAGCTCTGTGAACATCAGCTTCACTTGGAAAGCCTAGCCAGTTTCAACAGAAACACTGTGCAAACTTGCATTTCTGCCCCCAAACTTCATAATGTGACCTTATTTGGAAGTAGGACCACACCTATAGCGAGAGCTATGCAGTGTTTGTTGATTGACTAATATTGATCTCATGTACAGCTCAGGGCTGACCTTAGATATCAGCCAGGAGTGGAGATTGGAGGTGAGTGGCAGGGTCTTTGGACTTGCCTTAATTCCACCCTCCAGGCTGTGTGACACTGAGCAAGTCACCAACCTTTTCGAACTGGCTGTCCAATCCTGCACTGGCTCCAGCCACCACTGTTCTTACTTTACTGTTACTGTTTCCCTGGCCTTTTTCCTTTTGCAGTTGTTTTCATGGGGCTTTCGTTTTTTAGTTTCTTCCTTTATTTTGTTTTGTTATTTCAGAGGGACAAGATATCACTATGTAGCCGTGGCTGTCTTGAGATTCACTCTGAAGACCAGGCTGATCTCAAACTGACAGACTTCCACTTGCCTCTGCCTCCTGGGACCAAAGGTGAGCACCACCATTGCCAAACACTTGTTTTCATGTTTCAAGACAGGGTCTTATGAAGCCCAGATTGGCCTCAAATTCACTATGAGGCCAAGGATAACCTTGAACTTTAGATCTTCCTGGCTCCTTCTCCCACAAGATTAATTTTTTTCAGTACTGGGAATAGAAGCCAGGGTATGGTGTAGTTCAGGTAAGCACTCTACCAAATGAACAGGAGTCCGGCCCTTTTAAAATATCTAATTGAGGGTGGGGTGGTGGTGATGCATGCGTTTAGTTCCAGCAGAGGCAGGTGGATCTCTGTGAGTGCAAGGCCACCCTGGTCTACAGAATGAGTTCCAGGACAGCTAGAGCTACACAGAGGACCCTCTCTCAGAAAACAAACAAACAAACAAACAAACAAAAAAACCTGAGAGGGCTGAT